GCTCCATCTGCTTGAAAGCCATGGTGGAGGCCTGGATCTTCTTCACGGGGGCCTGGCCCTCGGGGTACAGTCCATTGATGAGCTCGCACAGCACCTGCATGAGGATGGTGGTAGGCTGAGGTGAAGGCGTGCCTGCTGCACATCAGCATCACAACACTCAGCTCCAGAGACCCAAAGAGGCTTCTTTCTCAGAATAAGCCTCAAAGATTCCTTCTCCTTCTGAGCCCCAGGGCAACAAGCCAATGCTCCCCTTGCTACTCCAGTGTCACTATCCACAGTCCACCCTTCCACATTCCCTCTCAGTGCCACTGTCCTCTGCTGTTACCTGAGTCCCTCCTAGTGCATCACCTTGGTTGGTGGCGTGGGGAACACATTCACCCTTACCTTCCCTCTATGGATAGAAGCAAAGTAAGGGGCTTATCCTACCCTTGATAAAAATACTTAGGCTGAGGAAAAGGCTGGGCCCAATATATGCTCCTCAGACTAAACAATTCCTGGTTCCCTAAGCCAAACCCTGCCATCCTGCCCCGCCAGTGCAGTGCGGGCCCAGCTCTCACCGTGCCATCCTTGAGCCAGTTCTGGAAGTTCTCCCGCCCAGGCTGGGGCCGGCCCACGTCCTTGCGGCACTGGGTGGTGATCCACTGGATCAGGATCTGCTCCAGGTCAGCGTCATACTGTTTCTCAATCTTCTGTTGTACCTCCCGGCTCAGGCCGTATGCAGGTCCCCTGTTGGCCATTCTGAACACGTGTGGTAGCTGTGGGGAGCTGGGCAGAAGACACAAGCAGGCCTGTGCTCAGCCGTGTGGTACATACACTGCATCTTCCAACATGGGGCCCAAGGGTGAGAAGCAGGACTGCTGCTAAAGTTTACACCTGACTCTCAGGCATATACTATTTTTTTTAAAATGTATTTTAGTACAGGATCTACAGGATCTCACTATACAGATCAGACTCGGAGTGATCCTCCTGTTTTCAGCCTCCCAAGCGCTGGGATTACAGGTATGCACCACCACACCCAGTCTCAATCACCATCTCAGCGCACACCGGGGGCAGGGCCAGCACAGCACTCCAGAATCAAACCCCGGCCTCTGCCCTCTGCCCTCGCAGGCATTTTAGTCCACTGAGCTATCTGGCCGGCCCTCTCAGGCACACACTAAATCAGTACCACCCAGAACTCTGCATTCTCTCACTCTGTGACAGCCAGGCTGGCTTTTATCTTGAGGGTCCCCACTAAATCGCATTTCAACAAATGGTTCTACTACTAGAACAGAGCATAAGACCCACTGAAATAGAATATGAGATAAGTGATTGGGACCTGCTCTTCCTTTGGGAAGATCATTTTTATAAAAGCAAAACCCATCATTGTAACTCCAACCATGCTCTTTACTACACTGGAAAGAGAATAAATGACCTGGAGACACGAGGAATAATATGGAGCCCTTCACAAAACCTATGTCAGGGCCTGGAAGGCTGAAAGGATCTATGCTTGATCAACCACTGGGTTTTAATTGAGCACTTATTACTTGTGCTAAGAACTGCAGAAGTGATAGAGGTCCTAGGTCCCTAAGGGGCCCACAGTGCCCTTGACAAAACAAAGTGAGTACACAGAACAGGAGAAGGGTTACACACAAGAAATTGTGAACTTCAGAGTTCAGGTCACAGATACAGAGATTAACAAAACAAGGGAAGAACCAATCTGGGTGGGCTTGCCAGAACATGAAGCCCTGGCTAGGCCCTTACCAGACTACTTCAGCAGACAAAGGGAATTTCTTATGAGAAACCGGGAAACCAAAACAAATTCCCCTTTTCCTTTCTAGGAAAAGGTGTGGTAGGCAAAATAACGTCCCTACCCCAAAGGTGTCCATGTTTTAATTCTCAGAGTCTGTGACTATACTGCCCTTACAGGCCAAAAGGACTTCCTAAATCATCCAGGTGACCCAAATGTAGTCACAAGGGTCCTTACCAAGTGAGTCAGAGTGGGACAAAGTGTCAATGGGAGGTCATAAACCAAGTAAGGCAGGTGGCCCCCAGAAGCCAGAAAAAAAGCCAGATTCTCTCGTACTCCCCCCCCCCCCAAAGAACCTCACCTCCACAACACCTGGACCTTGGCCAGTGAGACCCTGCTGTGGCCTCTAGAACTCTAAAACACCATGTGGGTGCTGCTCAGTTTAGAGAAGTATGTTACAGTAAAACAGGAACCTAATGCCAAAGCCTTGGGTGTATTTTCAGGGAAATTTGGAAGACTGAGAAGGGGGTAAGTGCCCAGGAGGGATTCTGTTAACTCCAAGGCTTGAGGACACTGCTTAGTAGGAACTGGGTCATTTCTCACTGTTGGCCTATGGAGAGGACCTCACCACCCCACATAGCAGTCAGCCCCACCCACCACCTCACCAGGCACTCCCATACTTGCTGAGCAAATCCTAGGGAGCTACTGGTGCTAAGGGGGCCAGGAACTAAAAAGGGGCACCACTCCCCATTTCCTGCCCTCATCCCCGCCCCCCTCTGTGGGCTCTCCTCACTGCCTGCAAATAGAGGTGGACTCTTTGGTTGATCACCAAAGTGCATCCCCAGGACGGGCACCTGTATTCAAGGGAGGCAAGGGAGCCGCCCCTGCGCCCACACGGGGTGGCTCCAGGCCAGAGGTACTTCAGGGATGAAGTCATTCTAGCTCCCTCTCCCAAGCAACTAGTTTGAAGGATCCTGCCACCCCCTCAATGGGCTGGTCTCTGCCCAAAGGAGTCAGGCCACCGCCTGTCAGCCTCAGCTGTGGTGCCTTTGGTCAGTCCCCTTCCCCTCGCTCCAAAATGGCTTCTCCCTTCTAGCGTAGTTTCTGGAGCTGCACATTTCCTGCAGACCTCTTCTCCATAAACCAGTTATTTTTAAACCACATTAACAACCACCCCCTCCATTTCCCCCAGCCTCAAAACGAGTCCAGATAAATGTCTGTCTGGGTCCTGACCCACACCACCAGCCACACCAATCTGCTGGGGGGACAGGCGGGTGGAGTGGCTGAGGAGAAGGGGGGACAAGCTCCCCGCACCAGGCCCAGCTGCTCAGCTGCCACTCAGTCTGTGTAAGCCTGTAACCTCTGACCACAGAGGAATGGCCGGAAGCCGGGGTAGGAAGAGGGACTACGGCTGCGATGGTCACCAAACCCCTGTCTCCAAGTCTATTTGCAGACTTCCCTCCGGGAGCAGCTTTTCTATGTCCACCTGGGTCTTGGGGCTGTTCCCAGGGAGCCCGAGGCCCAGGGGTCACCATAGCACAAGTAAAGAAGGTCAGAAGATGGCCAACAAACAAGGGGTCAAGGAGGGCCTAAAGCCAGGCCCGTCCACTTCCCCCCCCCCTCCCCTGCCCAGGGTAGCAGTCCTGAACCCCAGACCTACCTTGGGGCACAGGATGGCTGCTGAGGGCCCCTCCCCGGGAACTCTGTGGCCAGGGCATAGCTGGCCAGGGCACAGCTGGCAGGTTTCTGCCTCCAGCTGCAGTGTCTCCATTCCACTCTGGGGCCACTGCCCTAGAGCCCTAAGGCTCAGAGCCGCAGGGGGGGAGGGGCTCTGGGAAGGGGCAGGCCAGCGGTTGCGGCAGCTGTCTCTCCTCATCCCCCCAGGCAGACAGCCGCTGGAGATGGGATCCCGCTGGCCGTCTCAGCTGGGGAAGCCCATCCAGGTGACCTGCCCCTGCCCTCCCCCAAAGAAAGAGGAAACAGCCAGCCTCCTACTGGCCAGGAAAAGTGCTGCACCTAGCAGCGAGACAGGTGAGGGAGAAGCCCAAAGCGGGCGATCCCAAGGGAAGGCGTTGTGTGAACCATAGGGGGTGGGAGGGCAGAGAGAAGCCTAAACGCCACAGCTGACTGCAGCTGTGGGAACCCCCACCCTCACCCACGAGCTGATGAGAGTAGAGAAAGGGGGAGGGGCTGGCCAGGAAAAGGCACGCCAGCCCTCTGCCCCACCCCAGCTCCTGGGCTGAGCAGCTCCACGTGGATGCGGGAAAAAAGGGGAACACCCAGTGTCAATGGGGGATTCAAGGCCGTGGGCTGGAGTTATAACCGAGAAGAAAGGGGACTTTCGCCGTGCAGACGGCTCACGGGTTGTGAGGCTGGAACTAGAGAGGGGCAGCACGAGGAACAGGCAGACTCTTGGTCAGCAGAACTGTGGTTAAGGGGTGACCTTAGGACAGATCTCCCTCCCGACAGGGGACATCCCCTCACCACCTAGAGTCCCCAGCAGAAGAGTAAGCTGGAGAGGCACAAACAGGAAGCCACCAGGCGCGCGGGTGGGGGTGGGGACGTTGCCATGGCTTTTGTGTACCAAACACAGAAGACAAGCAGGGTGGGGGCGCCAGGCAGAGACACCTGGTCCACACACCCTTTCACAGTTCCTGAGCACATCGCCCAAGGGGGCCTTCACAGCAACCCTTGGGGAGATCCAGGGACAGGAGACGCTAGAGGTGGCAGCTTTGGGGTGGAGGTTTGTAGAGGGAGTGTAGGTGCCAAGGTCCGGTTTCAGGGTAGAAAGGCAGAGCCAAGAGAATAGAGTTCAACCAACTGCCCAGGCTGGCTAAAGACCCCACACCTGCAATTCCTGGAGGGTGAAAGGGTGGCGTGAAGGAAGGATTAGACGCAACGCCAGTCGGCAAAGCAGAGACTGAGGCTGAGGTGCAGGACAGGAGACACAGTGCACAAAGGCTGCGGCTCTCTGTTCTGGAACGGTAGCACCTGGTCCGCCCACTCTACCTTGACCTCCTCCGCTGTTTGAGGTCGGTGCTTTGGGGCGGGCAGAAGAGACGGGAGGGAGTGGCGGCCGGGTGGCTGTCCCCGACCGGCATTTAGAGTTTCAAAGAACAAAGTAAAGTTCTTCCACACCAGAGGGTGCCGCGCCCTACGCGCGTCTCCACACCGCATCCCCACCTACACCTAGTGTCACCGGGTCGCTCTGGCACGGGCCCCTGGAGACCCGAAAGCCAGGAAGACGGTAAAGCGCTGCAGGAACTGCAGGTCCAGCCCCTGCCCCCTACCCCCCCCCACCCGGCCACACCCTGGGCCGTTAGCGGATGAGTCACCCCACCGCCGCCGCCCGCCACTGGGGTGACGCAGTGGTCTGGGCAGCCCGCCCGCCCGCCCGCGGCCACCGCCGGCTTTCCCAGCAGCAGGGGGCACGGGAGGGAGCGGCGGGCGCGGGCAGGAAAGGGCAGGCAGGAAACCAGCCATCCCCTTCTCACCCAGGCGGGGAGCATCGGGGCCACCAGACGCCTGATGGCGAGGGCAAGGGTTCTCCTGTAGACCAGGGCGCCTCACAGAAGGCCAGGCCACCACACGGGACCCACGCGCGGAGTCCCTTGCCTTAGCCTGTGACCCCGAATCCCCCACACAGCGAGGCAGCAGAAGTAGAGCAAGAGCAGCCTGGAGGGTCCAGAGGACATGCGGCGCCCACACGTGCTCCAGGAACCAGGAAGTGAAGGAGCGTGGAGGAGCTAGACCCGAGTGCCCCGCACCCGGGCGCACAGCCGACGCCTCACCTCCTCTTTATCCTCTACGTTAGGAACACGCGAGGATCTACAACGAGAGGGGCTGGTCCCTGAGCCCCACTCCGCATGGATGCCCCGTCCATGTAGCTGCAACCCTCGCCTGAGCTCATTGCTCTGCTGGGTCAAGGTTCGGGGACAGGACCTGACAGCAGCACAGGGCGGAGCAGAGCGGTCCTAGACTTTGCTGGCGCCAGCTCTGGATTTCCAAGCTCTCCAGAACAAGTCTCGAGCGCTGGCTTCTTGCTCTCCATCGAGCATGCAACCAACCCCACCCCACCCCACCCCGACCCCCAAGTCCCGCTCACCGTTCGGAAGGCTAGATACTAAGTGTGTGCGCAGGGGCTGCAGCTGGAGTGTTGCTCACGGGCCGGGCGGGCCAGGGGTTTTCAGAAGGGTCCCGCCTCAGACAGGGCGGACCAGGGGCGGGGCAAGGGCCCAGAGGGTTTAAAGGCACCGCAACGGTCAAGGCAAGAGTACTTAAGGAGACAGGACAGTTGGTGAAGGCTAAAGCACCTGTAGAGTCTAGGTTGCCGCTTCCGGGGTCTCCCAAGCGAATCTCAGCCTCCACCTAGGAGCCCAAGGGCTTTGTTCCAGTATGACACTTCCTCCCTGGATGAGCTCAGGACTGTGGGCACGTGTATGTGGGCAGAGATCTCTCGTTTGTTAAAGACTAGCAAGGTAAATGGAGGCACACGAAAACCCTCCCCTGAGTAGCGAGGGTGTGACAGGCCCGGGGCTGACAGGCCAGAACAGCACCACCATGTGGTCTTGTTTGCCACGAGCTTCAAGTCTGGGCAGAAACTAACCGTGAGGTCATCACTTGCCTTGCCAGGGGCGCAAAGGGCGTGGTCGGTGTTGGGACTCTAGGTTCAGGCCTGACCTCTCTTGCCTGCTCCTAACCTGGTGTTTCTTCCCAAGCACCCCCACCCTTTCCACTGAAGCCGTGTTCCCAGGAAGGGCTCCTGCTTACCACCATCAGTGGGGTTCTCCACATGTGGCAGGGGACCTTGTTGAGCCTGATACACACCAACAAACAGCATCCTCTGAACTTCCCAGCCTGTCCCCCTCCCTGTCCTGCTCAGTCTTCTGGAGTGACAAGTGTTTTCACTTCCGTGCCATTACAAAGGCTGGGTCTAAGTTGCCTAGTTGGGGCTCCAAACTTGGGATTCTCCAGCCTCAGCCTCCCAGAATTCTGACCTAATGCACCATTAGGCCACCAGGCCCAGTGACCTACGTGGAGTGCTTTTCCATCCTTGACTGTCATTTCACCAACTCTAGCTCTTACCCACTTTATGACTTTGGGGCAAATTACTGAAACACTCCACGCTTCACTTCCGTTCTACAAAAGAAGCCAACAAAAATCACCAGGATGCACAGCTATAAAGAACTAAATGGGACCTGTAAAGAGCTTACAGCAGTGCCTGGCACATGTGAACACTACTGTTTTCACCTTCCGGGAGGGATCCTAAAGATGCCCCAAATGTAGCATTTTCCCCAGAACACACTGTAAACATTCACTAAATGTTGACTCCGGCTGAACTCTTTTCTTTGTGTTACCACAATAACCCACACACAGCTTTATCTAGGAACTTATCACATCACACTGTAACCATTTCTTTACTTCCCTGTCTCAATAGCTAGAAAGAACTCCCCAAGGACAATGTCAAGTCTTAGTGAACTTTGTATTTTCTCAAAGCTTCCAGCTTAACGGCTGGTCTTTAGTAGCCAAGCTCAGCAGGTGCTCAGTAAGTGCTTTGGGAATGACTGCTGATAGCACCCCCATTAGTGCAAGGTTTCCCTCTTCTTTAAGGGTGCAGGGATCTTCCCACTTCTCTCAGTTTCAAAGGTAGATACACAGGAATATTTTTCAGACTTTATTTACCTGTAAAAAACTTGACTCACCACACACACACACACACACACACACACACACACGAGCAGTCCAAAATCTCTGTTCCAATTCCCAGACTCCAGACTCACCTAGGGGCTCAGCACATACATCCCATACCAAGCTCACCCAAGCCCACCATCAGGGTCTGTGCCTAGGCACCAAGGGGCACAGGACAGTGCCCCAGGTTGCAGCCAGGTCTTGCTGGGGGCCTCCTTTACAGGTCCATAGGCCTTGTGCAGGTCCACCCAGCTTCACATTTGGGATTTTCACAGCAGCGTGGCCTGTTCAGGATGGAGGACTGGCTGTCGATAGGCTGGTAACCGGGCTCGGGTAGCATCGCGGCGGCGGCGGAAGGCCAGGAACTCCTCCCGAAGCGCAGCACAGCGGGCCTCGGGGCCAGGAGCATGGACAGTGCTCAGGAGGCAGCTCTCCTCTGGAGTCTTCACACCTGCATGGGAAAGGCAGGACGATGAGCGAAGCGGCCTTGACATTCAGGAAGATCCAAAGGGTCTTTGGGTGCAGATGAATAAGGGAGCAAAGCACAAGCCAAAGAAGCCTAACGCAGGCTGACGGCACAGACTGGCCCTCAGGTGGCCGGGGGCACAGCCACGAGGGCCTGCCTCTCCGGAGGCTTGCACACCTAGCTCTGGCTCAGCTTCAGTTCGGATCCGAGAACTCGCCAAGCCCAGGTGCAGATTCTCCAGCAATTCCAGGTCCCCAGGGAATTCCGAGTCCCATTCGTAGTTCTCATCCACAGATGTGTTCCTCCTGTTAAAAGGGACAAGCATGCAGTGTGAACATGGATGGCCACAGGTTCCCCTTGAGGATTCCTGCACTCAGCAAAACCACAGAAGACAAGGTCTCTAGGTCTCAGGCTGGGAGTAGCGAAGGGACAGTGTGGAATACTGGGTAAATGGGGGAGAAGAATTGAACCAAGAGTACAGGACCCGGATGAGGGTACGGACAAGCAGCAACTGCCCTCACCTCTTGCTGACTGTCACCACATGCTCCCTTCGGGGCCACCTCTCAGGGCCACTGGCCCAGCTGCTGGTGTCTCCTGGCGCTGGGCTGAGGTAGCTGCCCCCTGCAGAGGGGGCTGTGGATGGGGGCCGCAGGAAGGAAGCACTGCCTCGGCCACTGCTCTGGCTTGTGAGGCTGCCCCGGGGAGCAGCAGGAAGAAGGGCTGGCAGCAGCCGTTCCCTCAGCGTCCAGTCAGCCAGGGCTGTGTAAGGGGATTCTGAGGTGGCCCCAGCCCCTACCATGGCCCCAGGAAGGGCTGCCCTGGGAGACACAGGCAGGGAGTCAGGGTGACCGAGGAAAGATGAAGTGGGGCAGGGCCTGGTATCCATGTAATCTGGGGGTTGAGCCGGGATTGGCTCCTCAAGAGGGGGCCAGTCGCCATCCACATTCATCTCCCGGAAGAAGGGTAGGCTCAGGTATTGGAGCAGGGGTCCTGGACCTGGTAGGGGACTGGGTGGCACTGCTGGAGGAGGCCCAACGGGGCTGATGTCCGGAATGCAGAGGGGCTGGGGTGCCCCACTGGGGCTGCTGCTGCTACAGTCAAAGGACCGGGCCGGACGTTGGGATGGGGCTTGAAGTTCCACCCGCTCCAGGCTTGACCTCTCTTGGGAGGCCCCCACAGTGGGTCCCATCACAAAGCGCCCATCTGGGCCTCGGCAAATAGGCTCCAGGGGTAAAGGTCCCCGGTTAGATGGAGGATCCGGATGGGGGCTGGGGGGACGAACAGGTTCCCCCCAAAGCAGACTCTGGCGCAGGCTGGGGACTGGGGAGCCCTGGAGTTTCAGTTTGGCCACGCTGTCGGGGCTGCCCGAACCCGGAGCAGAGCTGGGGAAGGACAGGAGATCAGGGTCTGTCCTGGAGAGGTTTGGTGCACAACAGAGCAGAGCTAGGGAGAGCAAGCGAGGAGAGGACCACCATGGCGGCGGGGTGGAGGGAAGGCACAGGCGACGCTGGGCCCCTGCCCAGGCGGGGCCTCTGCACTCCGCACCCCATTCCCACCCCCTCCATCATCAGTTCTGCCCCTCCCCAAGGTACAGAGGAGGAAGCAGCAGTTACAGGCCAGTACAATAATGAGACTTACTGTGGGCCAGACTTCCTTGGTGGGGAGAAGATCAGAGGTGGATCTGTAAGGGCAGGAAAACAGGTGACCCGGCAAAAACCAAGCTCTCCCTGGCCCACCCAGTGCAAGGCACCCAGCCTCTTTCCGGTTGGGCTGGGAAAAGGGTAGGAAAGCCAGGAGCACCAGGGCTCTGTGGAAGGGAAGGTCTTCCCTCCAAGATAGGAAGCCAAGGAGGAAGTAGAGGGGCTGGGGACAAGTGCAGGAGCCTACCCTGGCGGAGGCGCTTGCGCCGGCGTCGCGCAGCCCTTCGCCTGTTCATGAGGCAGGCCGCCAGGATGCTCACGAGGACCGCTACACCCAGGAAGCAGACACCGCCCACCACGCCTGCCAGCACAGGCTGAGGCAGCAGGCCTGGCAGCTGTGTGCGTGATGGGTAGACCTCCAGGCCTGGCCACCAGATGCAGAAGAAGGGTCAGGGGGCTCGGAGCTCAGAAAGCGCAAACCCCACTGCCCTCTGGTCTCAACGTGTTCTCACCGGAAGTGGAGATGTTGGCCGTGTTGCTGGCTTCGCTGACATAGCTCCCCGCAACGGCAACCAGGCGGAACTCATAGAGAACATCCTAGGTGTGTGGGTAGGAAGGGGGTCAAGGCCCCGCGGTGCCCTCCCAGCCCCGCTCCTAAAGACTTTGCAGTTGGGAGGTGAGATCGAGGTGGGGAGGTGAATACAGGCAAATTAAGAAAGGAAGATGGAACTCAGGGAATGAAGGTCACTGAGGAGCCCCCCAACTACAGGCCTGGCCTCCCACACACACCTTGATGAGGCCCGGCACCAACAGCTGCGTTTCTGTGCCAGCCACAGCTGGATCTAGCACCTCCCAGCCCTGGGAACCTTGGCGTCCTTCCAGAACGTAGCCATCCAGTCTCTTAGGGACCAGTTCTGGTGGCTCCCAATGCAAGAGTACCCCCCGGGGTGTTCTCACTGCCACCAGACCCCGAGGAGGGGACAGGAGAGGTAGTGTCTCCGTCGGTGGCAGGCTGGGTACAGCTGGTGTGGTAGGAAGTGCTGAATGGGACAGGCAGGCAAGTCAGAGATCCCAGGTCCCCTCATCTTGCCCCTCCCTGGTCTCCCGCAGGCCCCCAGTGCTGAGATGTTCTCTGAGGACCCTTCCAAACCCCCACTGCACAGCATCTACACCCCCTTGTGATCCCAAGTCCCAGAATTCCCTCATCCCCACTTCTGCTGCTCTGTGGCACAAGGCCTCTCACCTTCCGGGGCAGCCAAGATGATCTCGCTAAAGGGACCACTCCCCAGCTTGTTCTGAGCTAGGACGCTGAACTGGTACTGTGTGTGGGGCTGCAGCCCTGGCACGAGGAGGTGCGCAGCCCCTATAGGCACTGCCAGGGACACCCAGTCATGGTGGGCTCGGTCGGGACGCTTGGCCCTAGGGCACGTGGGAAGTGGAGAGATGTCTCATGAGAAGGCCTGGAGTCCAGAGAGCTGACTCCCTTCCACCCAAAGCCCCAGGACCTGGGACCTGAACACCTAATGAGTCTCTGGAAATGGCAGCAGAGCTAAGACATGCATAGGGATGAGGGCTGGGAAAAAGGGGAGTAGGCTAGACAGGTTCAGGGTGAAGACAGGCACTCACAATGGGGTGTACCACACACTGAATCTCTGCAGATAGCCACCATCAAAGCCAGGTTCCCACGAGACATTGGCACCCTTTGGCAAAGGCACCACGGACACATTGGTGACTGCATGGGGGCTGGTGCCTGGGTAGCGGATGGAGGGAGGGATGACAATCAAGGTCCTGAAGCAGGGGCAAGGGAGAAGTCTGGGGTTCACCGGAAGGGTCTAACCCCCACCCATCATCCCACAGGTTCCAAACACACAGTCCCCCAGCTGGGCCTCCAAAAATGATTCCCCTGCGTTCCACACCCTGGTGTGCTCTCCAGCCACTGACCCAGCACGTAGACATTCGTGGAGGTGGCCACCTGGGCAACAGCATTGCTGGCACTGCATTCCCAGCGCCCGTGGGCCTCCTTGGTCAGTGGCCGCAGGATGAGGCTGCTGTTGCTGTCCACCTGGGCCTGGACCCGCAGCCCACGGCCCACCTGCAGAAGCACTGGTCAGCCCTGAGGACACACGCAGCCACCCCTCACCAAGGGGGCCACTCATCTCTCCAGGAGGCTTGTCTCCTCCCCACCCTGTTTCTGACAGCCCACTCCTGCCCAGATCCTCTTTCCTGTGAATAGGACAAGGGCACAGAGAGAGGGAGACAGGGGGCATGGATCTGGGCAGAGCAGGGGCAGAGCCTTACCTTGGCCCAGGAGAGAGTGGGAGGAGGGTCTCCTTGAGCGGCACAGGGGATGAGCAGCTCCCGTCCTACTTCTTGGAAGTATTCTTCTTTGGGCCTTTCTATAAAGGCTGGGGGAACCTGCAGGCCAGATCTGCATTGGGAGGTGCCTCGCTCCTAGCCTCTCTTCACCTGTCTGAGGCTGGGTCCTCACAACACTCCGAGCTCCCTGGCACACCGCAAGTCTCAGTCTCCATCCCCACCTCTCTCTCGGCTTCTCTCTAGCTCTGTACGTCTGCTCCCCAGCAGGTGAGGCCAAGGAAAACAGTAGGATGGGTAAGGACTGGTGGGCCAAGCCTAACTCTCTGGAGATGCACAAACCTCTACAGATTGCCACATCCCTGCCCTTTGTGTCCTTCCCAAAAGCCCAGTGACAGCAGCAGCACAGTTAAGATGAGCAGGAGTCTGAGCAGACAGATAGCTCATTTTATGAATGTGTCGCCTGACTGATGTCCCACCTCCCCAGCAGCATCTCTGCAAAACCCTCTGGGACAGCATCTGACAGCTGCTGCTGCTGCCATCATGGCAAACACAGACCTGCAAGGCCCTCCCACATGTGTGGACTGCCGGTCTTGGCAAACACCTTCTGCCATCTAACCCACTGCTGCTGTGGGCCCCCGGTCCACCCAGGCCTCACCTTGAGCAGCACTCGTGTCACAGGGGAGGGCCCAGCAGTACCAAGGCTGTTGTAGGGGGTACAGGAGTATTCTCCTAGGGCATCTTCATTCCCCAGGGCGATGATCAGTGAGCCTTCTGGGCCCTGGGACCAGCCAGGGAGCTGGAAGGAAGAAGAGATGACAACCAGAGAAAGGAATTCAGCGGAGGCAAGGTGAGGATGGAGAGGCAGAACAAGCAGCTTGCTGCGGGCAGGGACTCCACAGCTCCACCCTTATGCCTGCCCTCTCTCAGAAGCCCAGCCCTCCACCTCTCCTTCCTACCAAGGGGCGGTACCAGCTCTGGGAGACCTGTGTGTGCAGCGCCCCTGGAGTTAAGCCCTGCTGGGCTCCCTGCCTGTTGCAATCTCTCTAAGCTGTCCTCCCAATGTTCTGCAGCTGAGCTGCCTCTTCTACCCCAAATGGGCTCCTGCTTCTCAGTAAAGACTGCTGATATCCTCCAGGATAATACAGGACCCCCCTTCTTCCTCATTCCCCCTTGTCTAAACCCTTCAATCTGTCACCCTTCCATCTCAGTACAAGGGCTCATCCAGCCTTATGTCCTGTAGCTCAGAGCAGCTGGGCCACCTCTACAGCCTTTCAACTCTTACTCGAAGGTAATCCATCAGCTGTTGATCACAGCTCTGATGCTCTACTGCCTTTAGACTTTTTTTAAACACACAACAAAAATGTATGAGAGGGGCCAGGGAAATGGCTCAGTGGAATAAGCGCTTCCCTGGCAAGCGCAAAGGCCTGAGTTCAATCCCTGGTTCCACAAAAAAAAAAAAAAAGTATGAGTACTACTATTATAAAAGCCCCAAGGATGCTGTGATTAAAAGATGCAACATTAAGCCTCAAGGAATTTATGGGTCTCTGCAGACAAACAATAGATCCCAAACGCCTTGGCGTGAGGTAACATGGACTTGGCAGGTGCTGTTTTGACTTTTGGCCCCAACCTCTTTTTCAGTTTTCCCAGCACCACTCACGTTCCTTCAGGCATTGCAGTCTTCATCAAATTGCCCAACTTATTATTCCACAAATGCACTACACATGTGCTCCCTCTGGCCCCTGCTTTCTGCACGGAATGACCACCCACCTTTCTAGGCCCAGTTCCCAAAGTCCCAGCGTTGGCTGCTCATCCACCCTCCACCGGGCCTCAACAGAAGGCTCATTCCTTCCCTGGCCTTTGAGTAGAGTCTATTTCTGACCTTCTCCTGCGGGCCGAGACTTCCTGAAGGATGGAGGCTTCTTTCCTGCTGCTTTGCATGCAGCACCGCACAAAGCACTGCACACAGCACCTGGTAAGACGTGTGTGCTCCTACGCAGAGCTGAATTATGCTGAGCTAAGGCCACTCTGACTGCCTGCTGACCAGAATAACACCAAGTTGACCCCTTCCACCTCCTGCCCCAAGCCTGTACCTTGTCCAGCTGCAGAGCCTGCCCATCCTTGGTCCAGGTAACAAAGAGGAGTGGGGGGTTGGCACGAACAGGGCACCGGATCACCCCCTGCATGCCAATGGGTAGGGGGGTCTCAGGAGGCATTGCTGTCACCTGGGCTGGGTCTGGGGAAAGGAATGGCAAGTTAGGAGACAGAGTCTGGCTCAGAGGGGAACAGGCGAGGGGAAGAGCTGGGGCCAGACTTACAGAGCACAGTGAGGTAGGCAGAGGCTGAGGGAGGGTGCGCGAAGCCATTGCTGGGCACACAGGTGTAGCGGCCAGCATCATCCGGCTGGGTAGCCTGCAGCCGCAAGCTCCCATCCACCAGGATCCGCACCCGGGACTGCAGGCGGCTGCAATATGCCATATATAACAAGGAGTCCTCCAGGCCTTACCCAGCCAAGGCGCAATTCCAAGACTGCCCACCAGTTCCCACTTCCACTGCTCCAGGTGTGGGTGACCCTACCTAATGTGGAAGACATTGATTCCATCCTGGAACCAGCTGTAGGTGAGGTTAGTGGGGTACGCCTCAGCCCTACAGGCCAACAAGACATCCTGGGACACATTGACCGTGCTGTTCTTGGGGGGCACCACAATGATGGGGGGCCCTGCAGGGAACACAAGGGGAGAGAGGCGGCCTCAGCCCAGTCTTCCCAGAACCCTCAGTTCGACTCTTCTTAGCTCTGCCCTCTGGGACACAAGGTTGTTCTGGGTCCTAGGGACCTCAGGCAGGACCTTCCCATTAAGTATAACAAAAGGCCTCTTTGGGTGCTGCTTTCCCTTTCCAAATTCTTCCTCTTCACTCACAGCAACCCCATTCACCCTGCCTAAAAATTGTGTGTACATGGGAGGGGGTCAGTTTTTGCTCTGCTAGTTTACCCTTGTGGTTCCCGCACACCTTGTTTAGGGCACCTCTGTATCCTCTACTCCAATCCAGGCGCCCTGTGCTTTGCCCTAAGATGCTGCAACAGCCCAAGCTCCCTTGCTGTTGCCACACTAAAGGCCACTCATGCACAAAGGCCACAGAACCCGCCACATTCGGATCCTCTCACTGAGTTCATGCTTCTGGACCCAGCTCAGTGCACTGTGTCACCCAACCAGCCACCTTTCCACATGCCAGCCCTCATGAACTCCTTCAGCGTGACAGCTGGCTGTTCCCACACCAGGCCCCTCCACTTTCTAACTCTTGAAACCCCTAACCTAGAACGCCCTTCTCTAGGGCCTGGCCAAGGCACACACCTCCTGCAGAACTGTCTGACTGTGCAGCTCTGCTGCCCTGTCTCCTCCTGGGCCCCACTGCACCAGAAGTCAGCAAGGGGAGAGAACAGGAGCCCGGCACAGATACCCTCTGCAGCCAGCCTGGAATGTCTGACCCCCCGCCTGCTCACCCAGTGCATCCTCACAAGGACCTGCATGGTCAGAACTGTTTCCTTTTGTAGATGAAAATAGGAAGGCAGAGAGATGGTGAGACTTATCTCGGCTTGGGGGATGGGGAGACCCTCAGGCCTTCCTGATCCCAGAGGCCATGCCAGCACCTTGCTCCTGGAATACCATGAAAAGCCTATGTCCATGGGGTCACAGACCGCCTTACTAGCCCATGCAGATAATAGCACTGTGAAGGCAACTCGGGCTCCACATGCCTCAGCTTTCCTTCCAGAAAGCAAAGTCTCGGCCAGCAATGGCTGTGCCACTCCTGTGCCTGCCCGGGCCTGATTAAATTCTCCTGGGCCTACAAGGTGTGAATCTGTCTTTATTGAGATGTGAAGCTAGGGCTCCCGAGGGTCTACTCCAGCACCCAGGTCTCTCCCACTGCAACACATTGTGGGGCGCTACTGTCTGTTAACTGATCCTTTCCAACTTAGAGCAGCAGTAGGACCTCGCCCCAACCCTGTAAGGCGTCAGCCTCCTCCTCTCACCTTGCTGTTGGCCTCCCCACCGCTCACCCAAGGTTCCCAGCCCTCCCGCCCAAGAGCACCTAGCACCAGCAGCTGGGTGGCGTGGGTGGTGCTGCCCTCAGTGCTGGAGGCTTGGCAGGTGTAGACTCCAGAATTGCCTCGCTCCACCCGCCGGATCCACAGCGTCCCGTTCTGTGCCTAGAGAAAGAATGCAGGGGCCGGGGAGATGGCTCAGTAGGATAAGCGCTTGACTGGCAAACGTAAGGATCTGAGTTCAATCCCCGGTTCCTTCTGGGCTGGGCCAGCCTTAGACCCGCACTCCCGAGACCGGCCAGCAGAGGGAGTCCGCATGCTGGGCTCCGGGGAAGCCAGTAGAAAGCGGCTAGCAGGCCCAACCTGCAGCCTGGCCCCGTGGCTCCCCCCTGTATTCTAGCTCTGCTCCCACCTTCCCAGCACACCCCAGCTGGCCAATTCTGCCCAGCTCTGGGACTCACTTGCACCTGACCCTGGCCCCGGCCAAGGTCCTGTCCCCAGAGCTTCCAGGTGACGCGAGGCTGGGGGCTGCCGCGGGCCACACAGCGCAGGGTGACTGGCTCCAGTTCTCGCACTTCAAGTACTGGGGGAGGTGTCTCCTGGAACTGAGGCGGGGCTGTTGGGCAGAGAGTCATCAGGGGCTCCACTGGGACAGCGTTCAAAGGCCGGGTGAGGCAGACCATTCAGGGCTGCACCTCTCCACCCACGAGGGTAGTCCAGGGTCACCCTATCTGCCCCACCAGGGCCCAGGGGAGAAGTGCACCAGCCTACTGGCTCACACTGTGCTGAGTACAGAGAGCGAGGAGGGAGGAGGGCTAAGTGCCAGGCGGAGCACTGTGCAGGGAGTCCAAGGCCTGGGTCCTAGACTCTGCCCTGCCAGTCATCAGACACCAGCAGCAGGACCTGCTTCTCTGCCTGTCGGGCCTAGGAGATGGATTATGTAGGAGATTAATGAGGTCCAGTGTGAAAGAGGTGTTTTGAAAACATAGACCAATAGCCCAACACTGCTAGCCATCACCCTGGACAGGGAGGCAGAAAGGAAGAGAAGAAAAGGCCCAGGTGGCTGACTGGAAAACTAAAAGGGTGGGACAGGAGAGGCAAGAAGATAGCTAAGTCATCAATCGAGGGGTGTTGGGAGAGTGGTGCACTGCAGCTGCACTGGGCTCCTCTTCCCCTTCTCCCACCAGCCAGGGTCCCCATCATTCTCCTGCCCGCCCTTCCCACCACCCGCTCCCCAGCCTCATACAATTGACTGTCAGATGCACCCAGGAGCCGTTGGCAAAGTCCTCTTCTGGGCTGTGCCGGTCCAAGAAGAGCACACGGCACTCGTACCAGCCCTGGTCTTCTACCCGGAGCCCCTCGATTTGCAGAGATGCTCCCGTCTGCAGCTGGACTCGTCCTGGGGACAAGTCCTGGATTAGGGGTGCAGAAGGAACCCCAAGAGAGCCCCAAATTCTTGGCCACACTGGTCATTCTCAGAGGTGAAGAACAGTCTCAGGTTTGTGTAACCTAAGGGAGTGGGGCCTACAGAGGCATGGACGGGGCAAGTTCGTCTGTTCAGCCCTTCTGACTGTTCCTGCCTTATAACAGCTGGGCCCAGTCCACACAGAGACCTGGGGGAATAGCAGGAGGAGACAGTGCTCCACCAAGCCACACTTGGCTTCCAGGACTGTTGGGAGGAAGAGTGAAAGAGCCAGCATTTGGTCTCTGGATGCCTACAAGATCCACCAGTGTATGATTTCTTTTTGTAGGAGCAAAGTATGGCCCCTGAGGTGGTACTCCTGCCACAGCACTCTGTCTCTGGAAAGCCCAGCAGTGTTTGGGGCCCTAGCAAGAGTCCAGACCTCACCTCCCAAAGCCTCTAATCCCAAAGCACTGTTATCAGCTGCCTAAGCGCCTTAGGGTGGCCAGCGTCCAGCCCGGCCAGGCAGCGGAGTCAGCAGCTCCTCACCTACCCGCGCCATGCCCCAGGCCACTCCCAGCTGGCTGACCACGCAGTTAGACAAAGCCACACAGCAGAGCACAAGCAAACACTCCACTCCCCGCGAGTCAGCGTCGCCAGCACAGCAGCAGGCTCAGATTGAGCTGCCTGACTGCTCAGAGCCTCAGCGCCCTCCACTGACAGATCCCTGCCCCCTAGAGGGCTCCACAGGACACAGGCAGCACAGCCTGGTGAGCAGGGCACACGCTTGGCAGCCAGGGAGCTGGGCATGAATCCAGCTCTGTTGCCTACTCTTTTGGGCAAGTTACTTGACTGCTCTGTCAATTTCAGTTTCCTCTGCTGGAAAAAGTGGAAAAGATAAGGTGTGGGGGGGGGGGGTGAAGAGCAATGCATCGGAAGCATACAGCACAGTGCCTGGATCGGCTGCTGTTCGAAGGCTGCTGAGCAAATGCATAAGCTCCAGGCGCGAAATCAGAGGCCCACACGGACCCTGACCCCATCCCTTACCTGACAACCTGTCACCCCCGCCCTGTTTTCCTCCCTAGGTGAATTGCACTGCCACTACAAAGTCCCCCTACCAGAAATCCCGTGCAACCCAGACTCCTCTGTCACCCCCAGAGGCACTTCCTTGCTCATTAGATCTTCCAACTCCTAGTCGCTAAGTACTTCTAGTTCCTTCCTTATCATCTTCACTTGGGGTCTGCTGCAATGGCTGTTACACTGTGTCAACTTGACAAGTTTAGAAGTTTAACTAAGGGACTCAGGGGGACTGGGGTTCTGTTCTCACTTTGTAAACAGCCTCATCTTGGGCAAGAGGAGGGCACTGAGAGGGTGTGAGTGCTACACCTGCCTAGCGGGTGACAGCCTTTTTACACTATCTGGAAGGAAAAAAGGCTTGCCCTCCCCCCCTTTCACTCTTGCTGCTTGGCTGTCTTCTGCTGCCTTGAACTGCTGCCCCATGTGCCACACCACCCTGCCTTGGAACCAGCTGGCTACGGACGGAAGCCTGTACAAACTGTGAGCTACATAAACCTTTCCTTTCTTAATATTGAGTGCTGGGTATTTTGTCTCAGCATCGAGAGAAAAGTAAACAAGACAGCTGTCCCATCTCTCACCCGGATTCTCACCCTATTACTCTCCTTTGCTACCTACCTCCGCCTTGGTCTGAGGTGGTCAGATTGTACTTTCTAAACTTCACAGAGGATGTACCTGCAGCTCTAGACAAGTCCCTTAGCATCCTGAACACCCCAGCCCCAGGAGTAGAAATCCTGAACCCGTTCACGCACCCACCCTCCATCTGTTTCTATTCTACCTCCAGGGATCTGCCTAAAGTAGAAACTCAGCATGTGGTGACCCTAAGCCACAGGCCACAGGGGAGAAGGGGAGAAGCATCAGGCTGAGGCTGACCACCTTTGCAAGGGTCCTTTTCCGGAATGAGTTCGCAGGGTGTGGATTCCTCAGGATGGGTGGGCCTGCTGAAAGGTCTAGGTGTTTAAATCCCCACCCAGGAGATAAAACAACGCCTAGCAGGCAAATATTTAACATAATCATACCCTTCAACCCACCAACAGGATTCCTCAGTAATGCTAATCTGCCTGGCCACTGGGTGCTGCAAACCCCAGGCTACAATCCCTTCTACACTGCCTGTGATAATAACTTCCTACTATAAAGGAAGTTGAGGGAAAGGGAGTATGTGTTGAAGAGGGGCCATGTAATATTTGGCATCGTCACTGTATTTAATCCTGCCAAGAATGTCATTATAGATGAAGGAAACGATGTTAAGTTTCCTTCCAAAATTTCATGGCTAGTAAGTGACACAGCCAGACCTCCTCCAGATGCAAGGCACTTTTTTCATGGAGCACTAGTGTTAGGGGTGCCTGACATCCATGTCACTGAGCATAATCCATACATTCTCCCTTGGGAAATGTTGGAAGCCAATGGCCAAAAGTCCCAAGTGTTTCCCTGCAGGGTGTCAACGCAGCACACTGCATGCCCTAACTTTCCCGGGAGGCCCACCAGATGGCCAGGGCTGCAGTGTCAGAGGACCAGAAAGATGGCCAGGTGCAGCAGTATGAGGCCACTTCCTGGATGTCTGCAGGGCCAACTGGAGGGACCCGAGATCTTCCTTCGTGTGGGGGTTGTGCAGGAGACAGGCCCTCTGAAGGCAGGAAGCTCCACACTCATGAACCTGGCAACTACACACCAGCTGAGCCCAGACACTGCATTGTAAAGCAAAAGGAGCAGAGAGGCTTCTGGGAAGGCATAAGCAGCAGAGGCTTTTGAGAGTTAAAGCCAGGAAGTGGATTTGTTCTTTAGTGAGCAAGGGAGTTCTAAATTGCAAATTGATTTTTTTTTTTTTTTTTTTTTGTTATGGGGTCTCACTACACAGTTTTGACTCGTAGTGATCCTCCTGTCTCAGTCATCTCCCTACTGGGATTACAGGCATGCACCACCAATGGCCAGTTTCAGGCAGGCATGGAATGCCCAGGATTCCGGGGCCAGCACAACATGCAGTGTATGTGTGGGGAGGGATCAAACTCAAGTCCTTGAACTTGCCAGGCAGGTGCTGAGACCGTCAAGCTATCTCCCCAGCTCTGGAGGCCTAGAATGGACCTCATATTTTATTTATTTATTTATTTATTTATTTTTTGCAGAACCGGGGATTGAACTCAGGCCTTTGCACTTGCCAAGGAAGCGCTTATTCCACTGAGCCATCTCCCCCGCAGGACCTCATATTTTAATGGGCTCATGTTTTTATCAAACAACTCAGCAGTAAGAAAAAGCATGTCCCTTCAGCTGTGGGGAACCTTGAAATTCTCAGGAAATATAGCACAAAAGGCCAAAGGCCAGCCCCATAGATGCAAAGAGCTGGTCTAGGATCCATCTGGGGAAAGCTGGTGTAGACAAAGCTCACTCTGCCTTTCTCCTAGGCCTAGTCCACAGATACCATTCAGGGTACTTTACATACAGTAGCTAACTTAATCACACTATTACTACTCACTTTTTACAACTTTTGCACTAGTTTATGAACCCAGTTTCTACTATTAGATGGCCCCTAGAGCTCTCCAAGACTGGAAACATTCCTGTCCATGTGGTCCCTACAGTTCTAGTTTCTCTCAAGTCTCTTATTCTAGGCCACCAAGCCTTCCCCAAAGTCCCAGGCCCATCTCTCCTTCACTTACCCAGAGGGTTTATGACACACAGCATTTTCCTTAGCAACCTCCACCTCCTGTTGCTTAGCAACTGCAGTTCTAAGTCCCCTACACAAAGGCCGAGAGGCTCCCTCCCCTGTGAGTAAGTAAAAGGGTTAATGGCTCAGAGGCCTCCTTCAGGGGTCCTTCCTCCCTGGGCCAGCTACCAGAAGCTCCAGAGTAGAGAGGCACAGGAGTGCATGTGAAGAGTAGCGGAAGAAGAAGAAAAGCCCCAAAGGCTGCTGCTCAGGCCCTGGCAGCACAAGGAACAGCACAGAGACACGAGGAAACCCACGGACACACAGGTAGCTGTCCAGGGATTCGTCTGAGGTCCCCAAGTTGGGCAGAGGCTGGAGAAAAGGAAGAGTTCTGCACCTTCCAGGTGGAGCCCCTAGGCAAGGCCCTCTCCCACCTCCCTAGGCCTGGTCCCTCTTTGAGGCACTCTCTGAATCTGCCCGCCTCAGCCTGCAACACACAACTCCAGGCAGAGGCAGCAGCAGCAGCCTAAACTCCTCCCAGGCCCAGGCATTCAGGAGGGAAGGAGGGAGGGCTGGTGGGCACTGCCATTTGTTTCCTCTCCTTGCGCTAATTGAGGCCTGCTTCCCCCAAGGCCCCCAGGGCTTGTGCAGACACATAACCTCTCACCAAGCTGTCTGCCAATAACTGCCCCCAGTTTGAAAATAAACCCTCCCCCTCTTCTGGCACCTGCCTGAGCTTCCTCTCTTCAGCCCAGCCAATCCAGAGCTTCCCTCAGGATTCAAACACAAGGCGAAGGTGGGGCTCCTCCACCACCCTCTTCCCAGGTGGTCCTTCCCAAGTTTTCCCTCACAGGGGGAGACAACAAGGTTCTCTGGCCCAGATGCATCCTCAGGACACCCACAGGCTTCTGACCCCTGGCACTAAACCGCTCAGATTAAGGCTCCTTTCAAGATTAGGGACAAGCAGGGCCATTCTGGGGAGACAGCTGGGCTGCAGCAGAAGGCTCCAGGGACCCTAGAAACTCTACTTTCATAAAGGAGATACCCGAAGCATCAACCCAGCCAGGCCCACTTACACTGTGACCTTTGGGGAGCCAGGGTCCACCCCCTCCCCAGCCTGCTGCCTCTGTGCCCATGCTTTTTTTCCAAATCAAGAAGAGCTTCACCTAGAGAAGCACAGATTACAGCCCACCCAGCCTCAGGACCCTTCGGCCTATTCCCTAAGCACCTGGGATCTAGCATTTTGGACAGCAGGCAAAGGGAGAGCAGGGCAACTGGTAGACAGCAGACTCAGGTACCAGGAGAGGACCGGGTACACAGACTATAGAAAATCAGAATGTAGTCTGCAAGGTTTTGTGATAAGCTCTAGAAAGAGTGAATAGATTTAGGGGAGACACAGTGTTAGGTCCAAAGGCTGGGTGTGGTGGTGCACGCCTGTAATGCCAGTGCTCTTTATGGCTGAGGCAAGAGGGCTGCAAGCTGCAGCCTACCTAGTCCAGGCAATTCAATGACTTAGCAAGACCATGTCTCAAAATAAAAAAGTTTTAAAAAGGGCTAGGGGCACGGCTCAGTAGAAAGGCTGTGGGTTCCATCCCCAGTGTAAAGGAAAAAGTGCAAGAACTTCAGACCAGACCACATGGAGTTCTAAACAGCACAGCTGTAGGGTTTGGATGTGGGAATGAATGAGTTGCCCAATGAAATAACACTGCTCGGGAAAAAGGCCATGCTTGGTAAGCAGTTAGGACAGTGGAGCTGGAGATGAGCTGGGGAGGGTAGAGCAGTTAATGAGAGGTTTACACCCTGCCCAGCCCTCCCTCCCCCCCAGGACAGCTCTTACCCACGTAATCAGGGTCAACTCGGGGAGAATACAGGCCAAACTGGATGAAGATGGGAAGCAGGAATCCAAAGCGCAGCCACTCGATGACATGCAGAGGGGGGTGGCCAGCCGGGGGTAGCAGGTCACAGCTTAGCACTGCACTCTCCCCGGCACGGCCCACCACAGAGACCACCTCAGGCTTCCTTCGACCTGCATGGTGGGTGGCATGAGGGCACAGCAGGGGCCAGAGTGAGAGCTGGAGGGGAGGCTCCATCAGCACCTCAATTCTCCAGAACTGGCCCTTGTCGTCCCCGCCCCGCCACTTGATCACAGAGCACCCCTTGGGAAATGCCCCACACCCCAAGCGGTGGTTTGTGAACCCAGCTCACCGTCAGCCCCCTGGCCGATGATCAGGCTGAGGATGGCCAGGTTTCGGGACCAAACCATAGCCCAGCTGGCCTGCTTGCCCAGCCCCTCCCAGCCACAGGAGCCTAGATGGAGGGGCCGAGGGACTTCTGCACCCAGCAAGATGCTTCCGATCAGCCTTAGGTAACTGGGTTCAGCTGTCACTCCTTTGCATGGGAAGGATTTAACTCATGTAACACCCGAGGAAGCTGTTCTTTGGAGAATCACCAGATCTAAATGCAAAATGCAAAGCAATGTGCAGAGTTGGTCAACAGTGGGTCAACAGTGGAGCCCAGAAGAAAACTCAGTCAGAGAAAGGCACTAGGAAGAAAAGGAGGAAACACAGCAGTAAGTGGGGACATCTGCAAAGGCACCATGGGTCGAACCTAGTAGACCCTGTGCATGCACGTTATCCCTGAGCTATGCCTTCAGCCCCACAACTGGAGATCCTGAAGCCCAGGAGCTGGGATGAAAATGGCAGAAAGATCCTAGGAAAAGCAGAGGAAATTCTGGGACTGCCTCAGCTATAATGTCCTCGGCAGAGTGAGCCAGAGAAGAACTGGAGGTTTCTTCTACACTGGGAAAAAATTTTTCAGGGAAATATGGATGATCAAGACCCTCACGGCCCAGCCTCTTTCCTTACTCAAAGTAGCAGATAGCAAGCCAGAATCAGAGTTATGGTCCACCCTCACCCCCACCATGTGACAAGGACTCTTCTGAGGGTCTATGCTGGGACAGATCATGGATTAGAATCTAGACCCCCACTTCCTCCCAGGAAGTAGCCTGTGGGCATCCCGGTGAGATCCCTGGTCCCATTTTCTGCCTCTAAGAGGAGCCTGGAGGCAGGGGACCCTGCTCAGGGTTCTTTCTCCACCTACCCAGCCTCCCAACACTGCCCTCACAGTGCTGGAGCCAGGCCTTGGGAGGAGTGGCTGTCTCTTCACCCACGCTATGGGTGGCCCAGGCAGCACACTCCAGGTCTGGGCAGGTCCCGAGGCTGGCAGCTAGCGTCCTTTTCCTTCATGAAGCTGCCAGGCAGCCCTCTGTCTGCCAGGCACCACAATCTAAGTGCCTCACCCCAATTCCTCCCACTCGCTCCGTTCCAATATCCTCAGGGTGCCAGGGTTTGCCAGACCCTCCCTTCCCCAACCCTTGGGGAATGAGAGCCAGAGGCCAATAGGGCCTGTGAGTCAGTCCCTAGGGCACACAAAATGAGCCCTGACCGCTGTCCAGCCCTGGCCCCGTAGGTTTTAGGGCTTAGTGAGCCAGATGGCCCTGCCCAGGCCTGGCAGACCCAAGTGGACTCTGCTCTGGGGCCTCCACCCCACCCCTGGCCTCACAGTCCAGTGCTGGCTGTAAAACATCCTCTACTTAATGCCCCTGAATGCCTAACTCCTGGCAATTCACCAGCAGCCATTGCCCCTGCCCAGCCAGCTCACCCAGACTTCCCTCAAACCCTTCTTTCTGAGTGCACAGTATAGGAATCCTCAGGTCTCCAGCTCAGTTTGCCAGCAACCTTGTAACCCTGGAACCCCCAGATTCGCCCTGCTTTTCCCAGGACCTTTCCGGCTCCGGGGGCCCCACCATATCCTCTCCTTCCTTCATTCTCACAAGGACTCCCGCCTGGGCATTCCCACCTTTCAGCCTCCCTCCGCTCCCTCCCCCCGAAATTCCAGCTCCTCTCACCTAATCTTCAGTGCAGCAGGTCCTCTGCCCTGCTGGTCCCTCTACACCATCCCCTTCTCCCCATACTCGGGCTCCCCAAAATTGCCATCCCCAGATTCTCCTGCTGAGCCCACAATGCACTTGATGTTCTACCCCCAACAATTCCCTTCTCTGCCCTCCTGGAGCTCCTCCTCTCCTTTGGAACCCACCAAGAAATCCCCCACATTACCTCCGAAACTCCTCCAGTCGGGAGACCCCTCACCCACCCGCCAGCAATTCCACTCCCCAGAACTCACCTAGTTCTGCTACCCATAGAATCCCACTTCTCTCCAGGGCTCCCCCTCGCTGCCCCAATCCCCACAACTCCCACGGCTCCCCACGCCCCCTGCTGCACCCCAATACTACCCCAGGAGGCCCTCGCGCTCACCTGCTTGCGCCGCTCGCTCCGCGCTCTCAGGCACACAATAGGGGGCGGACCCGCCTCCCGCCGCGGATGCCCCGAGCGCCTCCCGTCGCCCTGGAGACCGCCTGTCTCCCCCCCACACACACACTCCCGCGGCGGCCAATTGCAGCCCGCCGAGGCCTGGAGAGGCGGGCGGGACCCCCGCGCCGCCTGGGAGTTGTAGTTTCGGGAGAGGAAGACTCGGTGGCACGTGGGCTTAGGTCGCCCCCTCGCGGAGCTCTGCACAACCAAGCGTGGGAACCGCCACGCGAGCTACCGGATCCCGGCGGCGCCCTGGGGCCGCAGGAACCTGTCCCTTTGAGAAGCCCGTAAGCGCCCCTTCTCGGTCACCCGCCTCCGGCTCTCTCAGCTCACTGCAGGACGAGCCTCAGAGGCGGCGTCGCGGGCTGAAATCCGAGCTAGGGAGCACCAAGCACGCAGCACGCTCTCCGCCCTCCTCCTGGGGCATCCACCCAGGTCCCAGCTCATCCGATCTCCTCCAGCAGCCCCATCCCACCTCCGCCCCTTTCCTCACTTGCCGAACTGGAAAAACCTGTCTGTCCTGGCGAACGCCCAGATCAGGCCTGGCGCCTCCTCGTGTACGGCTGGAGGTAGGTGCTCTGAGCAGGAGGGACCAGGCCAACCTCCCTGGCAGCGCCCAGCACCCAGAAAAACAGGTCCAGAGAGAGACAAGACAGGCGTCCTGACAAGGGAGACTGAAAGGGAGGTGGAATAAAGGAGAGTTTGCTGAACCCCTATAGTATGAGGGACCCTGAGCTCTGCCTTGGAACTCCTATGGACTCTACACGAACCCCTGGGAAGCAAGATTAGTTCCATTTGAAAAGTGAGACTCAACGACGGGAGGTAACTTGCCCACGACGCCCCAGCTGCACCCATGCAGGGCTGAATCCACCCCCAGCTGGACCTCACTCCACCCCCTCCCTAGTACTTCACCTACTGGGAAAAGTTACCCTTTCTGTCTGCCCCGCGGAGATTTCTACTTACTCGGCTTGGTACTGCTGCCAGATGCTTCTTTACTCGCCTTCCCCACGGGGCTTAAGCAGTTGTTGCCTGTCCTATCCAGGTCCTCTCTCCACCTGCTGGGAAGCTCTCCCCACTTCCACCTACATCTGAAGCACTACGGGCTCACATGGGGTGTGCCAGACCTCACATCTGTGGAATCATCCTGCAAGGTCAGAGTGGCTGTGAGCAGGCTCTGCACCAGAATGCCTGTCACAGTGTCACCTCCTGATCCAAGAGGTGATCCCACCCCTACCTGAGCACAGCCTGGGCCACGAGGCCCAGCGTTCCTGCGGTGGGCGCTCCACCCTTAGTAAGTAAGCTCTACCTGCTGGCATGGTGCTTCTTCCAGCTAGAAAAGTCTGGAGGAGAGAACGCAGAACAGGGATGTAGTCTCTCCTTCCACCCCAGCAGCAGTTCCCCAAGTAGCATCCCCACACCTTGCTCTCCTATGTGCTGGAATTATACTGCCCTAAACAGTTGGTTTGACTATAGTGGTTACCTGTGAGTGGGCACCACACCAAGGCAAGGCAGAAAAGTTAGTCAGAAGGAAGCTTTTTGGACTGCCTCATCCTCCCCAGCCATGGCGCAGATCTCCCTCCCCCAAGAGAATCCGACCACCCTCTGGTTTCATTTTTGCTCTTTGAAGTGATCTCTGAAAGCCACTCTCATTTGGACATTAAAACAACTTTTTGTAAAAGGAGATGTTAAGTGGTCTCTATTTTTTTTAAACTACATTCTAAAAAAATGTACACCATGCTTGCTTTTCCCACCAGCTTATCCTGGGCCACATCTTGTAAGTATATCCTTCCACGCACCACAGAGTTCCTTGAGGGCAGGCAATGTGTATTCTGTCTCTCTAAGTGCTGGCCCAGTTTCTACACTTAGTAGGTGCTCAAATACTGTTCTCTTCCCTGAATTTCTTGTCACCTGTTTCACACACTGAGGAAGATTTGCTTCTGGCTTCAAGCAGAGGAAAGGCCTAAACTTTTCTTTTTTGGAGTCTCCATTTCCCCTTTCCAGGTGTCCTGGACAGCTTAGGGGGTGCTCATCCTTTCCCTGCTCAGAGCCTGAACGTGAGAGAGACTCTGCCAACTCCAGGGAGTTCCTGGGGCCAGCCCTGCAGGGCCCATTCTCATTCCTCTACTTACTTTCTGGGGACCAGATTCTGGAACACAGGAGAAGTGCACAGGTGTCGGTCTTTGTGCAAGCTGGACTCCAGGAGATTGCCTTTCCAAGTGTGTAGTCTGCAGCCCTGTAGTGATTGATGCCTGCTGGGGAAGCTATGAAACCAGTCAGAGACTCTGGGGGTGGAAGATCTTTTTATTACAAGACTGTTCTGGGCCTCAGGCAGGCCCATAGAGCCAGCCTCAGCCTAAGGATTGCCTTCCAAAGGAACCAGACTCAGGCCCTTACAGAGCAGGGTAGATCCATTTGCCAGTCCTAGATGTGCTTTGGGCACTTGTTCCAGCTTCACCACCTCTTACCCAAGCCCAGGGGCTCCATCTCCTGCACACACCCAGGGAGACTCCATCACTGGGCTTCTAGCCCTGCCCCATTCTGCCCTCTGCTTACTGTGTTGTTCTAGTGCCCAACCCACAAGTCTTACTTTACTAAAATCAGAGCATCCCTGATCTCTGGTTCTCTGATGCATCTTCTTGCACCTTTTGCTGGCTCACATTCTTTTTCTTGGGAGACACTGTGGAGATCAGCATCCTTTCCCTCAGAGTCAAGAGGGGCAGCGGCGGGCTAGAGGGATGTCGGCCATGTCTCGGACCATGAGGCCCTGTCCTTACCTCTTGGGATCCTCAGTGTTCCAAGTCTAGCCCACCTTGATGGGAGGCAAGGGGCTTGCAGAGACCTCTGAGAACCTGTGAGACCTCTGGGCAGCTGCACCTGTGCCTGTCTCATCTTCTGAGTACATGCTTCATTTGGAAGTCTGCAGCTCAACAGATGTTCATTAAACACAATGTCCCAGGCCAGAGGCCAGCGGCAGGGCAAAGCCAATCTCTTGCAATCTCACTCAGTTCCCTCCCACCACCTCCGCCATCCACTCTGTGGCAGCTACATGAGTATGAGACCCAGAAGTTTGATTTGGGGAGCATGTTGGAAATGGGCAGGAGCACACGAGGGGAGGAGAGGAATTGGATTTAATCTCTGGCTGAGGGAAAGAGGAAGAACATGACATGGAGGGCCTGTGTGAGGAGTGGAGAATGGGTATCAGCCCAAGATAAAACTCCAGGGAGAACACTGAGAGATGCACGCCTACAGAAAGAGGACAGATAAGACAGTAATATCAATCACAGACAAGTGTCAAGGGCTCAAGATCCCAGTCACTGATCTGTGGAGCTGGTACCCCTTTGAGGTACACACCAGAGACCCAAAACAACTAATGTCAAGGAGAAGAGAAGTCACCAGGTCCCAGAGCAAGACTGAACTAGGTGAGGTCCTTCCCATCTCCTGGAACAGCTTCTACATCTGGGTGAGGTAGATGGAGTAGTTAAATAAATTTATCCAGAAGAATAACAATGGGGAGAAAACAGAAGAATCTGAGGCATAATACCAGTTACATACAGAATCTAAGAGCCTGAAATCGTGCCACTTAAGACTTCCAAGTTCAGTTAGGTTAAGAGGACCTGTTCACTGGTCTCCTTTAAAACACATAGTTCAGTGCAGGTGGTAATGGTATGGGGGTTCTAAGAGCAAAACCCACCTCTGAGTGAGTCCTTACACCCACTCTGCTCCCCAAAGGCAAGCCTAAAAAAGCTGAGGACTTGGAGATGAATACTGAGATTGAAGAAGGTAGGGAGTGGGTTGTGCCAGAGCTTCCCAGCGAGACAGAGGACTGATCAGACACAGCTCCTCCAGAGTGGGGGACACAACTTTATTCCTATATGACCTTCCCTCTGGAGGGGGACATCCATCCCTGAGCCCGCCCTCTGCCCCTGACGCAGGATGACTTCTGGTGTGCTGGGAAGAGGCAAAATTCAAGATGGAGACTTCCAGAAGATAGTCTGGCTGGGCTGAAGTCATGCTTCCCCTTCTTTCTCAGTTTATTTCTGCTCTTCTTGAGTTCCTTTGTCCTTGGCACTTGTCTTTTGTTTTTATCTCGTGAGCCAGAGCCCCACAGCTAGAATTATCAAGAGCACGAGGAAGAGCAAGCCCTTGGCTAGGAGGCAGGAGGGCAGTGAGGTTGTCTTGAGATAGCCAGGGTCTGGGAAAGAAGGAAAGGAAAAGAAGCTTACCAGAGGAAGCAGTAAGTTAAGATTAGGGACAGACAATGCCACCGAGCGTTCTCACAGGGCAGCAAGTTGATGGTTTGTTTTTTTTTTTGTTTTTTTTTTTTTGGTTTTTTTTGGCTAGCTCAGTCTGCCCTGGGAGTGGGGCTAGCATGGCATGTGGTGCCAGGGATTGAACCTCAGTCCCTGTGCTTTGCCTAAGCTCACCTAAGCAGGTGCTTTAGACTGCTGAGCTATCTCACTGGCCTCAAGTTGATGTCTTCATCTCTGGAAGCATTCTACTCCCAGAAACTCAAGAACTGAGATCTGGGAGCAATCGTAAACCAAGAAAGAGAATTTTGGAAGGTGGGTCCCCTCCCCAAGCCAGGTGACAAGCCTCTGTGGGAGGAGGTTAGGTTCTGGACCCATGTACTCCCCTAAGAAGAGCGGGGTGGAGAGTGCTGGTGCCTAGCAGCACAGGTCTTGCATGAGCTTACAGGTTTCCTCTAGGGTCCTGGTACCTGCACAGAAGGGCCCAGCAGTGATGGGACGAGAACTGACGCTGCTGATGGGGTTGCTAGCCCTGCAGGTGTAGGAAAGCATTTTGTTCCCAGGCATCCAGGACGTGCTGAGGACAGAGCCTTCCTGGGCCGCGTCGTCGGCACTGTCCCCCAAGGTGAGCCAGCTATAGGTGATGTTCGCGCCTGCCGTCTCCACAGAACATACCAGAGATATATTACAGGCACCTTCCTCAGAGATCTCCAAGCTCACAGCAACTCGGGGCTGTGACAACTGACCTAGATGGGCAGAAACACAATGACTTGCTGAATAATCCAGGAATTAAGTCTGTTCTAAACTTCTTGATCCTGGACTACTGGTGCTGCTTGGAGGGCCTTCACCTAAATAAATCAGCAAAGCCAAACACAAATTAGCCACCATAACACTTGCGAGTCCAAGGCCTCCAGGGCACCTGCTAAAATAAGCTGCCCTTGGGCTCTTCTCTCCTTTTGATTTCTCCCCCTTATCTTTTTTTTTTTTTTTTTTTTTTTTTTGAGACAGGGTCTCATGATGCAGCTCAGGCCGGTCTTGAACTCAACAGTCCTCCAGCCTCAGCCCACCTAGTGCTGGGGTAACAAGCATTCACCACCACATCGAGCTCTCTCTCTTATTTTTGTACCCCATCTTCTCCCAAACCCTCTTCTGCTTTCTTGGTCCCTCAGAACACTACTATCCCTCTCAAATCCATCTATATGTTAATCTGGGCTGGCCAAATAGCTCAGCAGACTAAAGCACCTGCTTAGGCAGAGCACAGTAGCCAAGGTTCGATCCCCCACATGCCATGCCAGCCCCGCCTATAGGGCATGCTGAGACAGCAATTGAGAGTGGGAGTGGTCGCGCACACCTGTAATCCCAGCGCTTGGGAGGCTGAAAAACAGGAGAGTCACTACGAGTCTGATTACATAGTGAGACCCTGTAGACCTTGTAGACTCTGTACCAAAAAAAAAAAAAAAAAAAAAAAAAAAAAAAAAAAAAAATCAGTGTCTGCAAGATTCAAAGCAAAGCCAATGTGACAAGCATAAAACAAAAATTTGGGTTCAAGTCGATGGAAGATATTGATAATTAACCCTCAAATGGCACAAGGGGTTGAAAGTCCCACGAATGGAGGAGGTGGTCATCCCCAGGACATACAATCTTACTGGAGCAGAAAGGCCCCTTAGGAGTGTCTGCATGAAGCTTCGTCTCTCTATATTAGACATCACTGTGGGAAGAGTCCATGCCCAGCGACCAGCGTGCAGCACCCAGTACTTCCTTGCTGTACTGTTGCTGAGTTCAGTACCCAGGCTCACAGACCACCACCTGCCTGCTAATCCTGGTTCCTCACACCATAGTTCTGAGTCCTAAGACCCCCACTCTAGAGAGCTAGAACAAGCCAGCTTTATGGTCCCCCAATGTAAACTCACGGTAGACACGCAGGATGAATTGCTGCATGGTGGACAGCTGGGATGTCCGCAGATTGACTTGAGCTTGGTAAGGCCCCGAGTCCTCCCAGCTCACATTGCTGATGTGCAGAGAGTAGCTGGGGTCCAGGAATCTCACTCGGCCCTCATAGTGAGGGTCAACCACTGTAACACTAACTGGCTCCCCCTCCTTCCCTGGCACTACCGTGGCGAGTCTTTTCTGGGAGAACCAGGAAACGCTCTCAACTTCCTCATCTGGTAGTATTTCTAGGGGGAGGATCACAGACTCCCGAAGGGCTGCAACCACTTCCACAGGCTCCGTGTCACCGTCTCCAGAGTACCCTTTGGCTGTAGATGTAGGAAGAGAAAAGAAAAAGGCTAGCCAGTGTCTCTGAGATTCTGAGCCTGGCAGCAGGAGCTGTGGCTCCACCTCCACGGAGCCCACACTCAGCCCAGGCCTCAGCAGCTTCCTCTCACTCTAGATTCACATTATGCCTGAGCTGAGAACCTCGGATGGGTTCCATTCCATCTGTCTCTTCACCCTCCACATTTTACCTTGGCCTTTGCCACCCTGCCACTGCTCCTCCTCCCATGACCCTGGATGTCCTCCTCTCTCCATTCTTCCCTGAAGGCGTACCTGGCTTCTCAGACACCAGAAATGCTGACATATTCAGCTCCAAAAGGTCTTGCTACCCCCAGGATCCAGCAGAATGGAAGTGAGGGGAAGAAGACAGTGCTCGACAGAAGCAGACGGCCACTCACCTTCCTGGAGCAGCAGGGGGAGCAGCAGCCAGTGAAGGGTCCCCATGTCAGCACCCCAGCCCGGGAAGAGTGATGTGGTCAGTGCTGCTGGTTGAGAAGCTGACAAGCTATGAGGCTCCCAGGGAGAGTGACTGGTTGGCAGCCTGAGGAGAGGGAAACAATGCCCAGCCTTACTTCCTCCATCCTCACTCAGCCCCTCCCCGTGCCTCACGCAAGTTCTCTCTGAGCCTGGCTGTCAAGAGGGCTCGTCCACTGACTCATGTCGCCCATTTGCCCACTCCCTAATGAAGACTTTCTGGGCTCCCTGTCCTCCCAGACCCCACACCTATCACAATCCCTAATCTCTTAAAATACCCCCTCACTTTCTGCTTGGCCTCAGCGTGCTCTGAGGCAGTTCTCTCATAGTTACTAAGCTGCTGTGATCACTTGATCTTCAAAACATCTTTATCTTCCCTGACAGATTCCATCTCTTGTTTGAGTGCTTGAAAAACCCATGTGAGCCCTTACTTGATGTTTTTAGAATGGATGGATGACGCCAGTTATGTTCATTTGAGATGTTATAGGCAGGGACGAGGGTGATCCTCTTTAAACAAGCAATTTGGACCAAGTTTCACCTAAGTTGTTAACATTGTGGAAAGACTTGACATGATTCTATGAGAATATGATATTGATCAAAACCATAGGAAAGAAGATTCCAAAAGAGATTCAAGAAGATCAGGGCAAGAAAATACTTTCTGCCCATCAGAGTGTGCCAGAATCTGTCGGTTAGGGTCCGGGGAGATAGCTCAGTAGAATAAGTGCTTGTCTGGAAGTGCAAGGGCCTGAGTTCAAACCCTAGTTCTGAAAAAAAAAAAAAAAAAAAAAAAGCTCTACCAGAATCCGTGGGTTGCCTTGGGAGGTAGCTTCTGTCCTTGGTGCTCTAAGACTGGTTGACCACTTGACTCAGCAGTCAGCAGCACCTCTGGCATCTCATAGATCCTCACACTGGATAATCCTCATATTTCCTCCAACACTGAAATCTGAGTCTGTACTATGACAAGGAAACAAGAGTGGTGTGCCAAGACCACGAACACAGAACAGGCGGATACGCACAGTTCCGGTCCTGCGCCAACATTTCATAACTTGAGGTCAACAAATCTAGCACATGATCAAACCATTATTGAGCAGCTTTTCTGTCCCACACAGTCTCCTAATTACTGGGTATTGGCAGTAATTTTATTTTATTAAAATAAAATAAAATATTTTTTTTCATTTTACATTCTTTTTATTTTTTTAATTTTTAAAAATAATTTTACTGAGAAACAAATAGCAATGAGACAGTTTCAAAACCAATTAGGACAGTTTCAATGATTAATACATTGTATATTGTTGTCTTAGTGGTTATCATTGTACAAGATGCAGACATGATATCCTGTCCACAAACACTATTAGAACAAATCTTTCTTTTTTTTTGAATTGTTTCTATTCATTGAATTAAGAGAAAGTAGCTGTATATCTATCCTAACTATTTTGAATATACAGATACAAAATGGTCGTTCATTTGTATCCCCTTACCAATAATTTTAGATCACAAATTTATGGGGCGCCTAGGTTAGCAACTGACGTTGAACAATAACCACAAATGTGATGAGTCTCCCCCAAGGAAAACTGGAAGAGCCTATAACCAGAAGATGTAGCCAAGTTGGAGTCACGGAGTCAGGAGGATTGAGGGAATGCTACCAAGGAGAAATGGTGTGTAGGCTAAGACCTCAAAAATGAGTAAGATCTGCTAAGTGTAAAAGACATCATACAGCTCAGTTTATGAAACCGTAATCCAATCAATCAACTTTTTTTCCAACCCAGCTTTTTAAATAAAAGATCAGGCTTCAGCTTAAGTATGAAACTTTTTTTTTTTTTTTTTTTTTTTTTAAGAACCGGGGACTGAACTCAGACCCTTGTGCTTGCCAGGCAAGTGCTTATTCTACTGAGCCATCTCCCCAGAAGCTTTTAAAAATTAGTCTTCCCAGTTATTTAGAAAATAAAATTGGCTCCAGCCAAATAGCTCAGTGGATTAAAGAGCCTGCAAGCGGGTTCAGGGGCCAGGGGTTCAATCCCCAGGCCTGCTGTGCTGGCCCTGCCCCTGGAGTGCACTGAGATGGAGATTGAGACTGGGCATGGTGGTGTGTGCCTGTAAGCCCAACTCTTCGGAGGCAGTAAGCAGGCGGATCACTATGAGTCGGATCTAGTAGTGAGACCCTGAACATCCTGTAAACCCTTCCTTAAAATAGGAAAGAAAATTAGAACAATAAATATCACTATCTGGTCTATGGGCAAAGGAAATGAAATGAACATGCTGAAGCAATGTCCACATGGCCAGGTTCACTGTGGCATTATGCACTATGGCCCAAAGATGGAATCACTTTAAGCATCCACTGAGATGAACACGTAAAGAAAATGTAGCACATGTGCACAATGGAATACTACTCAGCCTTAGAAAGGAAGACATCCTCTTATTTGTACTGACATAGATGAACTCAGCAAATATTATTTCCATGAACCAAGACGGGTGCAGAAAGGTAAATAGGCCAATAGAATACCCATCTCTGACAGAACTAAACAAAAAAAGGGGATACAAAGGAAGGACCATTTTGTACCTGTATATACAGAATAGTGAGGATAGACATACAGCTACTTTCGCTTAATTCAATGAGAAGAAAGATTTGTACTAATAGTCTTTGGACAGGATATCCTGTCTGCTGCTTGTGCTATGGATAACCACTAAGAAGATAACAATGTACAATGTGTTAATTATTGAAACTGTCCTATTAATCAGTTTTGAAACTGTCTCATTGCTATTTGTTTCTCAATAAAATAAAAAAAAATTAAAAAAAGAAAGAAAAGTAATAGCACATGATCTTACTTATATGTGAAATCTAAAATGGTTAAACTCAAAAAAAAAATAAAAAAAAAATAAAATGGTTAAACTCACGCAAGTAGAGAGAGTAGAGGAATAGTGGTCTCCAGGAACTGGGAGTGGGTGGGTGGGTGGAGGTATAGGGCTAGGACCCAAAATTTCAGGGAAATAAGTTCAGGGATTCTATTGTACAACACAGCAACTAGAGTTAATGTACAGAAACATTATTTCTCAGGAAAATTCTCAGAAATTGCTGAGAATAGATTTCAAGTGCTTCTATCACAAAAAAGTAACACGTACTTTAGTTTGATGTAGCCATTTTGCAATTGGTATTTTTAAATAACATGTTGTACATAATAAGTATCTACAATTCTTTTTGTCAGCTAAAGAAAAAAAAGGAAGTTTTTTTTTGTTGTTTTTTTTTTTGACAAAAAAGGTCATGGATCTAATGTCCAGAGTGCAAAGGGTAAATGTACGGGTTAGGCTGAGTAGCAGATGCTGGTGTTAGGAGTATAAGAGGCTTAGTGGGGTGTGTGGTGTCGGGGGAGTTCTGCCTGTCACAGATAAACTGGCAAGGAAGCAGGGAACACTTCAGATCACAATGCAGATCCCCCCGACGCTGCCAACTCCCAGGGAGCTCTGGCACGAAGCTTGCCAAGCACAGGAGACCTGTGCTGGGCAGCAACTTCCAAGCATGAGGTCCTCCCCGGGTGGGAATCCACGTGTCAGCAGCCGCACTGCCAGCAGCTGCTGGCGGGGCCTGCCTGGAAGTTGGATCCCGACCGACAGCGCAGAGACTGTCCGGGTACTGCTTGCAGCTGAGGTTAAGTTTTCTCTCAGAGAGCTGAAGGGCACCTCCGTGGCTGCCACAGTGAGTGTGCTGACAAGGGGAAGGTGCCTGAGCACAGATGAATTAAATCCATCTCAACAAATAGGCGCAAAGAGGAGGAAAACGTTTGCTGCCTCCATTCCTCATTGGCCCTCCAAGACCACTGTGGAGAGCGTCATTTCTCAGAGCATGATTTTCGCGTCTAAGGCTTACCCTACAGCAGGGGCTGTGCTCCAGACGCAGCTTCATTGCTGTCTCCCGGATCTCACTGTGCAAAGAGGCTTCCTCAGTCTAGGAAGAAAACTCGGGCCATGGTTTCTGGTGTCTGTTCAGGGATGTCCCTGTCTCATGTAATATATGTAATTCCACGTTTAATTTACAGTCTATAATCTCCCCTTCCCCTTGTTGGCACCTGGCCCGGGCTGGGAGCCTGCAGTGGGGGAGGGGAGGCCTCTGTTGTCCTTGGCTCTCCACAGTACTCTAGCTCCTGGTGTCGCCTCTGTCCTGTCTCCTCAGCACACGCTCCCTCTGTAGAAGCGTAAGGAATGTGAACCGGTGACCTGTTGTCTGTACCTGGCTAAGTGTCTCTGCCCTCTGTAACCTTCCAGATGTCCCTCAACGTCTGGCCACAGTCTTCCAGTCCCCGCCCTCTCATACCGCCCCTACTGCACAACACCCAGGACAAACACCCAGGCTGGGCCCACAGGTGGCCCTCAGCTGCACACTGTTAACCTTCCTTGTCTTGACACACTCACACCTTATAACATGGAGTTCCCACTGGGAGTCGGATCTTAGTCCATCATCAGTTTTGTGAGACTCATTGAAGGCTCCAAGGCATACACCCAAAGTTCTCCCTCATGCCTCACCATCATCATTGTATTTCCCCTCCCTCCCTTCTCCCCTCCTCTTTCCCCCTTCACTTTGTCCTTCCCTTCCCCCTCCCATGTTCTCCTTCCCCTCCTCCTCTTCCTTCTCTTCCTCCTCCTCTTTCTGGTACTGAAATTGAACCCAAGGCCTTCATATCCCCAGCCCCTTTATAATTTTTTATTCCAAAACATGATCTCACTAAATTGCCAGGCACTCTGCTTCCTAGAGTGCTGGGATTACAGGCTTGAATCCCATACCTAGCTCCCTAATTTTTTTTAAATTATTTTATTTTATTTTATTTTATTTTATTTGTGTGTGTGTGTGTGTGTGTGTGTGTGTGTGTGTGTGTGTGGCCAGCTCAGCCCACCAGGGGGCAGGGCTGGCTGGCATGTGGTGCTGGGGGATTGAATCGCGGTCCCTGTGCTTTGCTAAGCTTGTTCTAAGTAGGTGCTTTAGACCACTGAGCCATCTCACTAGCCCCCCTAATTCCCCCCCCCCCACTGGGGATTGAACTCAGGACCTTGCACTTGCCAGGCAGGCACTTATACTGTTGAGCTA